TCTCTCTCTCTCTCTCTCTCTCTCTCTCTCTCTCTCTCTCTCTCTCTATCTTGTGAGTCACAAAACTTGAGAATTCTTGTATATTTGAGTGTACACAAATTTCGAATGCAGTATATTGCATTCAATCTTAATCACATTACTTTTATTTATGCATTTTGTGTTTTTCCTCTCGTCGCTTCGATACAATACACACAAAAAAGAGTTGAACGTTCAATCGACAGATTTCAGTAATTTCAAATGCAAGTTTCAACTTTACGGTTCATTCATTTTTCGAATTTGTTTATTTGTATGGATTTTCCTCTTTTTTTTCCTTTGTTTCATCCCATCCTTTGTTCGTTCTTCTGAGAATTTCAATGAAAATGTAACAAAATAAAGGGTTTGAAATGAACGTCGTTTGTTAAACATGAACAACGACAGCAACGACGTTGAAATGCAAAAAACAATGAATTTTTGCTAATCAAATTTACTGGATAATTCGGGGTTTCAAGCACAAAAAAAGCAAACAGAGAAAACGGTTGAACGCATTTATTGAAACATTCTATTTTGGAATTTTTAAATAATTTAGCGCACGAACAACTTTGCGATTGCGAGAGAATAAAAAAAAATCGATTTTCATTGCTTTCATGGCAAATTGGTGGAGCAGTCATTACACGCAGTTCTGTTTATGAAAGCTTAGCCTGAATTGAATGGCATTTTCCACGTACAAAATGCGAAGTAGAAAAGGAGATTGCGGATACAATCTGCAGGTGAACCCTTTGCATCTTATCCGAAGTAATTTAACTTTTATTACAAATGTAAACCGATCCATTGATATTGATTTTCAATTTCATTGAACGGTTAAAAAGGCGAACCACAGCGGATAGAGAAAGAGAAAAAACACAAAAAATTGCATCTTACAGTAATACGCCAAAGTAAATCCGTTCGCCACAAAGAATTGAATTTTTAACGCAATCCGCAATTATATTCATATGAACAATGGCTTGATTGTGAGTGTACGAAGACCATTTTTATTCGCAGAGATTTTTTTTGTACATTTTTACATGCTTCATTTCTGTATAGTTTAATAATAACGAACAATTCATTTTCGTTCCTCTGTTTTTTTCGCCCTTACAACTATGGCAACAGAAAGTTGAATTCAGCGAACTGAGCTCGCTTTGATTTTTATTTCCTTGAAAATCGTTTGAGGTTATACACATTATACGGAATGCAATGAAAGCAACGAAAAAAAAATCTATCGTTTTCATGAAATGAAAAGAAAGAAAAGGATTCAAATCATTTCCGACGTATCTCAAGTTGAACATAACTTTGTACGCGAAACAATTTTTTTTTGTTTTTTTTTCCACAATCGAATTCTGGGAAGAGAAAAAAAATGGAAGTACGTCAAAATACAAAAGTTTAATGACTTAACCATTTTTTTTGCTGGCGCTCTGTCATTGAAACTCTTTCTCGTTGGGGTTATGTTGTTCCTCGCTTGACTCTGAATAATAAATCAGAATCGCAACGATGCTATGTGGCTCATTACAATCAGCATTCGGTTGTCGCATCTGAAACCCGGCAACAGAAAAAAAAGTTATCATTTTTAATTTTAGTAAAAAGATGCGATTCTTTGCATATTGAATATAATTGGCGTCGCTAATTGAAAGCAAAATGCGTGCTTCATTTCATGATATTACCCTTTGTTCCCATTCTACGAAAGTCGATATTCTCTTTTTCCAATTTTAATTGATTTTTGCACAGCAAAATCACTGGCTCGCTCATTTTATTTTGTTCAAAAGCACAACGCTAAATACCAAGAAACATGAATACACCCTTGAATCGAACTCAAAATGATAACACTGTCTAAGTGATTGATGGAAGAAACGGCATTGGCTGTTGTTTATAATGAAATATAATCAGTAGAAACACACACACATACAGCAAATGAGATCAGAAAAAAAAGTGGCGTGTCTTTTGTGAGCTTGAATTGCCGTAGGGATGAGGTGATTCCAAGTCAAGCTCTTTTGGTGTTGCTTACAAAACAAAAATAAGAGGGGCTTATTAATTTAGTGCCCCTTTTTATTTATTCAGTGAACGTTTTATTTGCACGCGCCTATGAAAGATTATGTTATTTATACGAAACGCTTTTGATCTGAGCAATTTTTTTTTCGGAGTCGGGGTCGTGCTACGCTGTGTGCATTTGATTGCCTTTTTTCAACTTTGAATGGCATATAAAGTGAACATGCGACGTATCTCTTTCATAAGCATACATAAAATAGATATTTATGGAATATTATAATGAATGGTGACTGAAGATCGGCAAAAAATCTACTTGCCACAGGCTCAAAACGACTCAAGCCACTATGTCAACCGTGATTGAATTGGGATACGAAGTGACTTTATCAAAAAGATACCAAAACCCAATGAATCCGCACTTGAGTATTTTGATTTTTTTTTTTTTGCTCTTTGTGTATTCTTTCATTAATTGCTTTTATACTTAATCCAAGGCTTCGGTCTGTTTGCCCCAAATCGATTTGTATCTGCTCTCTGTTTCTGTTTATCTTATGTGTTTCAAGGAATTTCCGTATTTGAAGAGCAAATCTCATCAGTTAAAATTGAAACAAAAGTGCAAACTAAAATCTCAACATCAAATGAAATGCGAAACGCGTTGGACTTTCTGAGAAAGAAAACTGTAATCCAGTCATTAAAACTTTTTAATTACTTTGCACAAGTATTAATTATTTACATACACACATATTATATTTGTTTTGAAGGGTGCTGGAGCAACCAGTGAAACGTTTTTCGAATGCATTTGACGCGCGCATTTGTGGACATTGTGTATGAGAGCATGGAAAAAGCTTGTACGACCTTTAAGTGGGCGTGGAAGGTTGACATTGTAAACAGGAAATAAATCCTCATAATATATAAATGTTTCTCGTTGTATTTTGTAACGGTTGACCATTACGAATGGAAAAGCCTCACTAGCTCATTTGAGTTTTTCCATTTAAAGTTTCTCCAATAACAAAAAACAGAACAAAATTCAAGAGTGACGGGTTTTATCGTGATTTCATGTGAAATTTTCGAAATAACAACCCTTTTGAGTACAAGAACTTTGTCCTCGAAGTGAAAAATCAAACAGAAACAATTTGTATATTGATGAATGATAATCGTGGAAAGTGTTTTGCTCTCGAGACTTGTTTCGCCGAATGTCTCCATTTCATGTTTACATTTTGCAGCACGTTGATCGACTTAATGAGAGTGATGCCCTTATACACAGCATCTGAAATCGTGCGCAAACAAAACGAATTTCATTTAGTTTTTTTGATCTTCGAATGATCCGAGATGTTATTGCTGGAAAGCACTAAAAAATCGGTTCCATTTTGAAAATCCATTTGATTAAGATTTATTGCTTCCAATAAATGCAAGTTAAACTCTGACAAATAAGTGCCTTAAAATCATTTGCATTCGTGGGTGAAAAAAATACAGTGAAATGTATTTTATACCGTATATGTGCAAATGAGAAGAAACCGACCGACTTTACGACTTAGCATACCATTTCATTCAATTGATTCATATTTTCCAAATTCACTTGAGCATGCACAACCATTCGTTCAACATTGTCGCGTCTCTTATATACACTCGCACCCTGAGAGAGAGAGATAGAAAGTGAAAGGAGGAGAGAGTGAGAGAGAGAGAGGAAGATAGAGAAGTCGCTGAGAACAAGAGCGAGAAAGAGATTTGCATATTTTTCCACAGGCATCGAACAGTAAATTTACCGAACAAATTTATTCGCAAAACTAAGTTGAAACTTTTAACGCCCGGAAAACCATTTACAAATAAGTACCGACAATATTTTTTGTTCACTCCGCTCTAAATAGTTTGTGAGTGTGTCTCTCGATCTTTTCACTCTTTCTTTCTGCCCTTCTCTCTTTGTCTCTCACCCGCTTGTCTCTCTTTTATGCGCGTATGTGTATCTATCTCATTCTATCTCTGTCTTTTTCCTCAATAGTTACCATTTGTTAGATATCACGTCAGTTGCAAAGTACTACACTCTTTGCATAAAAAGTGTTGGTGCATCGAACGAATGAGAATGAGTCATGATTTTGCACTCTATTTTTCTGCAATAATTAAATTTCTAGATTTGCGTTATTGTAGTTTTTGCTGCAATTATTATTAGTTTGGCATTTTTAGTTAATATTTCAATGCTTGCAATGCAAGTTTATCGTTACGCTACCGAGTTGCATATATTTACCCCATTAACACTGTTCTCTCTCTACATTTTTTTTTTCAATTCGAAACAACATGGAATCGCTTAAGTTTACCTAATTTATGGTTAAATACCGTTTTTTTAAAATACATTTCAAAGACTTTTTTTATGCTTTAAAAAACATTTTGTAACATTGTTAAAACGATGGAATAAATTCCTTCACAAACCGGTTCGAACTTTTTTGTTTTGCTGTTACAACAATTTTATTGGCATATTGCAATCGACTTTGCTACACCGTATAAAAACACCAATTGGCTATGAAGCGTATACATAGCTTTTTTTCTCCGGCTATTTAGTTTTCATGTTGCTTTTTGCTTTACTGTTTGTGTAAATTTGTTTTCCCATAAATGTTTAAGTTTCAAGTATTTGTTCTGTCACTAAAAGCGAAAAATTTTCGATAAGATCGAATACTTTGCTTTTTTATATTGTTTCAAACGAATTGATAATATAAAATGTATATTGCTCTGAATTTTTGCTTTTTTACCGCGATGTCGAAACACTAATTTACAACGTTCAAGAAATTAACTCAAAAAAAAAGACACGTATTCAAGTGGAATGGTTGAAATCAGCCAGTTGTGTTTACATTTTAGCAAAGCAATGTTTAATTTTATTCGTTATATTTTATTTCTCTCTCTCTCTCATTTTCTTTCTTTTTTTATGTTCATGTGCTTGTCCCTGTGCAATTGAAAAACTGTTTACGTTGTATCGTTATTATGTGTATTTATATTCTGTTACAAATTGTGTTACGTCTGCAGTCTCCGCCCGCTTCAGCCAAAGTACCAAAATCGGTGTCAGACCGTAAGCGATTCTTTGAAAATGCGATGGAAGACCACAACAAACCAGCACCAAAATCAGGTAAGTTGAATTCATTTTATACCAGAATTTACATTTTCATTTCATCCATGCGGCTCTCGACCAGAATATGAAGCCATTTAATTAGTCTTTTTGTTTCGGTATCTATGTTGACACATATAAAATTGATACATCCACTTTTGGCATTCACACACACTCACCGAGCGGATTGCAATTGAGTGAGCTCAAATTTAAAATGAGCGAACCGGAAAATTGATAATAAGATCTGGCACTTTTTTTCGTTAAACTTTTCTTTAGTGAAAAAGAACCATTTCGCCAAACATGTCTACATTTCAAAGGGAAAACTTTCCATTTCAATGACGTTGATGGTGATGATAATGATAAAAATTGTGGAATTTCCATGAAACGATAATGGCATAAATTCACTTTCAAAACGATTTGCAATTCATCACATCAAAATTAATTACAACGAATTTTCGTTTTCTCGTTCGTACTCAAACCCAAAAGTGCATTTAAAACTCACTTAAAGTAAAACTTGTTGTGCCATCCAAAGAGAGTGTTTTGTATATCGCCTTTTTCAAAAGGAAACATTTTCACAGACATTATTTCACTTTCGCGAACACAAAAAGAAAGAAAAAAATATATATATTCCATTTTATGTACGTTTATAAACGTAAAATGCTTCGTTTGAGGATTTCGTTCATTAAATAACAATGATTAACCACTTCATTATGTCGTGTCATATTTCTTCGTTGTTCGTTCTTTTTCGCTCTTTCTTTACCGTTCTTTTGGCGCATTTGTTATTCTTATTTTATATCCGTTGATCGGAATGCGAAACATGCGCCGAGTAGTACGCATAATTTGATGTTGTGTTATTCAATGTTTCGGTTCATAGCGCCGCGGCGCTCCACTAACAGCAAAACTGCTACTCTTTACCCGTTTTTTTTGTTTTCCTCGTTCTCAATTCAACAAAAAGTGATGTTAAATGGTGTTTTGCATGTGCTTAGCATCATCGCGCACACGGTTTTTTTTAATGTGTATGAAGTGTGTGTGCACACACACCGTACATTGTGTATTATGTTTTATATTTATGCGCTTTCGCATTTCGAGTGTAGCATTCTCAGACTGACTTTATGACTGCACAGACACCAAATGACAGAGCTTATAAATCAAAAGTTTCGCTCGAATGGCATGCGATATGAGGCAGATGTGAGTGTGTGTGTGTACATTTTGGAAAATATGTACGACGGAAGGAAAGCAAGTCAAGTTAAGGCACGTAAACGAGTAAAGATCCGAATACACACCAGAAAAAAAGATGACGCCGTCGACGGCGACTTTTTCAAATTATTCGAGCGTAAAGACCCAGGACCTTTGTCGACGGCTCTACATGATTTTCTTTTGTCGTTCTCTACGATTTTTTCTTCCTTTTATGTGTGTGCATTATGAATTTCTTCTTTTTTTGTATCTCTATTTGCAATGCGTCTTATTTTATTCGATTTTCGATGGCAAAAATGCTATTCAAGATATGGAAAGAGAAAACATCAATAAAATGTTGACGAAAGGCATAAATTCAATTTCATTATTTTGGAGTGTGCTCAATTGTCTTGGTTGGCAACGAATATGCATTAGATTGCGACCACCTCACACATCCACACACACGGCAAAAAGAGAAAATAAAGTCATAAAGCGAAATGCTCGTTATAAATATTTGTTTATGCTAACAATTTTCGGCGAAAGTAAGCTTGCACGCACAAGCCCATGTCTGACGACATTTTATGATGTCGAATACGGTTGAACCGCCATCAAATTAGATGATGCCACAGTATAATTTCGTGAATTATCCGAAAAAAGTACACACAAAAAAAAGAGAATTCAAACAAAAGGAATCGTCTGCGAGATTGCCGCAGAATTGCCAGTAGCTGAATGTTTTCATTGCACACAACAACCATTTTCATATTGCCATTCGCTTCTTTTCAACTCATAATCAATTTAATTAGTGATATTTCTTAAATCTCGTTTTTATTGTGCGGCATTTGGATATTTTGCTTCTGTGCCTCCCCTTTCTCTTTCGTCATCTGTTTTACGTCGAATTAAACGAATACAGCAGATCGAGTGTTTAAACCGTGGACGAGAAAAAAGTGAATTCAATTTATATTCCAACTGAAAAATGTAACCGTCAAACATGCAAAGAACTTCAGGCAAACCCGATTGTTCTCTTTTTTTCATACTTGAACAAACTTAAAAACGTAATAACAATTCTGAACTTTAAGAAACGAGAGAAAAAAAATTAAATGGCTTATTCTTGCAACCATGGCAATAGGTATTATTTCATATGTACACATGAAAACGCATAACGACTAAAAAAAAAAAAAAAAAAAAAAAAAATTCGTTCGTTTCATTTAATTTTGAAAATGTACCCAATACTTTTTTATATGAAAAATAATAATATTTTTTTCTTCTTCGTTTCCTTGTTCGTATTTGATCGTTGGCCATTGTTGCGTATGTGCAGAGAAAGTTTTCTCATTTTTATCACAAGATGAAGTTGAAAAACTGAAACAAGAAGAAGAGAAAAAAATTGAAACATTAAAGCGCGATAAAAAGAACAAAAAGATTTTGCGAGCTACAGATGGAAATAGTTTTGACGATGGAGATGACAATGTCGATGGTACGTCAAGTGAAGACGATGACGACGATGATGACGATGACGATATCCATGCAGGCGATTCAAGAAGCAGCAGGTAATTTTTCACAATTTGTTTATTTTTTTTTTTGTTATTTTCATTAGTTTTTAAATTCGTCTCTCTGATTGGTTTGTTGTTTTTGGTGCAAATGACCAAGGCATTTGCCCATTACAACATTATTCATGTGAATTTTATGCTAAACACAGTAACGATAAACACATGCAGTGCTAATAAATTCACCGTGGCAACATATTTTCATATATACTGAACGCAATCTATATAAATCATTACATCAAAAAAAAAAACAACAACGGTTGGGTTTTTACATGTCGCGTCACACACAAAACCACCATTCTTAAGAAAATAAAAACCAAAATAATTTTCATATAATCGTTAATCTGGTTGTCGCTCTGTTTCGCATTTAGACACCATAAATAACATTTCATTTGGCCATAAATATGCGCAGTCAGTAACTATAACCAACGTCATTGTGGATAATCCATTGCTTTATCGCTTGAAGAAGCGAACAGAGCAGTCATTTGCCAAATAACAATTATTTGGTCGATGCAAGATCAAAACACAACTCATACACACATCGAATTGATTCCCATATGTTAAGTACTGTTTGCGGCGCATGCACCCACTTTTTACACCATCCCATACAATTCGACCTCATTATTAACTACATCTCTCTTTCTTCCTTTTTTTCTTCTCAATTGTATAACTCTCTTGGTCTGTGTAATTATATTTTCTTTCATTCCTTAGACGATTGGAAACATAAAAAAGGCATAATACCGTCGCTTTCATTGTTGTTTATTTAACATTTTCATTGCATTCCATTTTCATTTCGAATTTTATCGTCGGTAATTTTATTTTATTTTCATATTTTTGCCCATTTTGAATGCGCTCGCGCCAGTTGAATGCCGGTGAAAAATGAAATCTTCAACCGCCAACCATGTTGATTACATTTTCAGCCACAATTATTTTTAATGCTCTCATTGAGAATAAGCGAGAGTGAGCTGAACAAAAAAAAACGTGCTCTATAGCTAATAGAAATAATCAAATAAATATACTCCCACAATTCACATTGTATACATTCGTTTCAATTTTTTCGTTCGCTCTGCTCTTACCGGTCTCGACATCGTATAGTAAATTTGAGTGAGTGCGCTCGGTACTTTTTTTCACCTTCTTTATGGTGATAATTTACTGCGCTGAACAGGTGTTAAATGGCACTTATGATTTATTTATTTATCTTCCTCTCTCTCTCTTTCACACACACACACTCTGTGTGTTCCTCTTTCTCATTAATATTCTCTTAAATAAAATCTCTCAATTTTCATGCTTGCAAACAATGTGACAACATAAAATATATTCACTTTGGCCGGAGCGCTCATGATTTTTCTACATTGAAAAGTTATTCATTCACCGAAGCGATGAAAAATTTGAAATAATAATTTTTCGTTTTCATAAAAAGTTCAAGTATTTAAAGAAATGCCCGACCATTTTCATCGTAGTGTTTTTATATTATTATTATTCAACGTTTGGGTTCATGAAAATGTAATTAAAGATGCAAAACTATTCAAAAATGCATAAATTTTAAGTTCTCAGCAGAATTTTTGGATGAAATTACTCATAAAATGTATGTTTTTTCATCGCTGAAGTACTTCATGCTTTATAAAAATATTTTTCTTTGATATTGATACATTATACCGAATAAAATACCGAAATGAGAATATATTACAAGTTATACCTGTAATTTGAGAGCGACACCTCCAACCAAAGATCGATTTTTCGACCAAGTGTTTACATTCTTTGGATCATTATTTTTGTTTCTGTCTGAATTTGCCAAGCATATTATTTTTCAAAAAAGTAACATATTTCCCATCAAATGCTTCGAATGTCTCGCTGAGCATCTGATGGTTAGCATAGCGGCAGCAATTCATGCACTTTATAACATTCCAAAATGTAAATAAAAGCGTAATTTTCTCGATTTAAAAGTTCTCATTCTCATTCGGAGTCGAAATCAAAGCATCAGTCTCTTTTATGTATATAGATTCGGTGTCTTCGGTTTCTCTGCCTTTTCCCATATAGAGTTTTTCGAATAAATGTTTGTTTTTGATGTTGAACTTGCGGTAAAGTAGCCAATCAATTGGAATCCATCCGAGCAATTCTTGACTTAAAAGGTTCGGGCTGGTTTTTTTAGCATTTAAAAAACAAACTTAAAACTTGCTGCATACAAAATGAATAAAAGACAAAAAAAAAACAAGAAAATTGTTCAAAAAGTTAATGGAAACTTTATCGTTGTACACTTTACGTTCGACAAAGAGCGTAAAGTGGCGAAAGGGGGATTGGATTGTATTGAAAGAGCTAAAGCTTCTCGTGTTGACTGAAATCGAGATGGATTGAGTGTCAACACACTAAGAAACAGCATTATCGTGCTGATGCGATACACGCGCGCGGGCGAGCATACAAACGACGTTGTTGTTTGTACACTGGGGCAGCAACCGAAAGTGGCATGATTTTCAGCTGCAATGAATAATCATTTAAGCTTCGGTTTGACCATCATTAATCATTGTTATTTGACGACATTTCTACCTCATAAAATATGCAGACAGTTGAAGCTCACACATAAACGGTTCATTGCACCGAACTCACAATAAAATCATTAATTTCTATTTTGGAACGGTGAAAAATGCGTTTGCGTTTCTTATTGCATGCGTTTTATTTACCATTTTGGATAAATCACTCACACAAAACGGTTTTTGTGTTAAACATATTTAATTTAATGCATGGTTTTATGGAAATTGTTTCACATACCTACACACTTTACTAACCACTTTTCATTCTTTAACAAAATACAACAAATCTATTTTACTTACTGTTTTGATGCATTTTCTATACTTTCTTTTACCTTTTCCTTTTTTTCTCTCTCTAAATATTTTATAGGAATCCATTAGCGGAAATTGAAGCTGTTTTTAATTAGAATGAGAACGCTATAAATACACAAACACTCAATTTAAACTTTTACTAACCACTATCAAATGACACACACACACACACCCTCCTTCCAAATAATCTCTAGTGCACTGCAACTTGGCAAACAAACACACAAAAACCACACTCATACCAAACCACCCAAAAAAACACATCTTTAGCTGGTAGAATAAAACGACTAATTTGTTAAGAGTTGAAAACAAACGAAAAAAACAAAGAAACAAACAAGCGTTTGTTATTTTCTATTGTATTTATTTTCTTTATTTCTTTTTGTATTTGTTATGAATTTAGACTTAATATTTCATATTTATGCTATTTTTTCTGTTATATATTACATTCTTTTTTGACGTTTATTTCTATTTTTCTTTATTTAATTTTAATCCTATAAACAATTAAGAGAGAAATACCAATCGAAAAATCGTACGAAATTCATTTATTTTTGTATTGTAAAAACAAAGAAAGGAAAAAAATTACCAATTTTATATTTTTGTAATTGGATTATATTCGTGAATCGTGGTATGTTATCTTGATTGTATATTTTACCCTATCAATTTCCGTTTACCTCCCGGTCATGTACTTAAAGTGTATTTAACATTGCACCCTTTTAAATGCTGCACTTTGTAAGATTTATTGCATTCTTTTTCTTCTTTAAATTAGATTAAGTCAAATAAATCAGTTGAATGGGAACAAAAAAAAATTACAGTTTATATCATTTTTGGCACAGTATCAAAAATGCCAACATATTTAATGCGAAATCGATTTGATCCCTTTCAACCATCCAAATTTGGTACCGAAAACATAATAATTTTTAGGCTAATTCAACGCACTGTTTGCATTTTCCATCAAAAACACTTTTTTTCCATTGACAACACCGAATGAATTGTTCAAAACAAACAATTTGTTTTCATTAAAAGTTTTTAATATGTAAGTGGAAGTTCGGTAATTCGTGTAAATTTTTTTTTGAATTTTATTTTTAGATTACCACAGCTACTATAGTTTGACGAACAAATTTCAAGTATTAGAGTACAAAAAGCCAAGAAAAATACAAAAAATGCATGTATTCGCATGCCAAAATGGGAAAATTCAAACGGAAATCTTATAATTATAAGCAGAGCCTAAAAATTATTGTACCATATGTAACTTTCCATACAATAACAAACACGAATATAATTTAATGTAAAAACTGGCAGCATTAGTGTTGGTTAAGGATTTTCAACTTAAAAATTAGCTTTAAGAGGTAAAATTTAGTATTTAAGAACAATGAGCATTGCGTGGAATTTCAGTTCCAAAAACAGAAAAAAAACCGGTGTTGGCGAAAGCCAATTTTTTTATTCATTTTCTTTTAAGTCGGTGGAAAAATCAAATTGTGCCTGATGAACTTTTACAGAAATAGAAAAATAATAAATTTTCCATACAAAGAGCAGCTTTTATTTTTAAATTTCAGGCATCGAGCTTTTAATCTATTTGTATAGCATTTAAGCGAAATAATCTAAGAATACAGTCAAGATGAATGAACATTTTCAAAACAAATAATTTTGTTGTTGTTGTATGAAACTAATTATGTTACAAAATGCAAAACCACACCGAATGTCTTGTGAATAAATGCGAGTCTCTTATATTCTTAAACAAAAAAACAAACGCGCACAATATTTTTTTCTTATTTTGGTTGAAAGTCGGTCGCACTGTTTGGTACTGTTTTAGGACATGCACGACACAAAAGTTTTGTTGGAATTTTATGCACGCTGTAAGTGACAGATCAATGTGAACACCGTGTGTTGCACGAACATGACAGACAGAAATTATTTTAGCAAAATCACCTTGGAAAATATTGTCCCTTTTTCTTCCGTTCTTTTTTCCTTTGCGTCGCTGTTGCAATCTGCTGTCTTTTCTTCGGTATCATTGCAATACATGCGTCTAACAAATCGTGAAATACTCGCTTTTTCTAACTTTTTTTTAAATCTTGAACGGGAAATGGCAATGAAATACCGTTCACTTGGATCAACATAATAGGAAATACAAAACGAACAAGCACGGCATGTGTGTGATAACGGCTGGCAGAAAGCGATTTGTATCTTTTTTGTTGTATTGCACAATTTTTGTTAGCTTTTCTCTACACACACATCTCTTGCCTATCTCAACAACAGCTCAACAAAGAACATGCACACAAAAAATGCAAGGGAAGAAAACACAACGCACCGCATAGACAATACCAGCCACAGCAAATAAATTTCAATTAGTTGATTTTGCTGTGGATTTCTTCCTTTCTGTTTGAATACAGTTGGTTTGTGTGCGGTTTGAATATATGAGCAAAGCAAAGCAGAAGAGTAGCATCTCAAGAATGCTACTATTTATTGTAAGTTGGTTCGATGTTTGCATTGTTACCTAGGGGAGAATCACAAAAGAAAAGAATAGAGTTATTTTAAAATAATCGACAAATAATCGAAAAAGAATCAATAACAATTATTAAACAATAGAAAGACAATTTTTCAGTGAATTGCCCCTAGATTTTTACCCTCTTTCCCATTGAAGAAATGAATTGAGAGATGAGCTTAAGAGCATCTCTGCTATATTATTTGTGTGTGTGGGAGTGAGTGAGTGTTTTTCTTTTTAGTTTACTTTTACATTTACCATTGAAATTCTCCCTTTTTCTCTCGTTCCATTTCTCGAACAATTGATGTTGCTTGAGCGTATACGCACAATGTGTGGCACTCAGGATGCGCGCCACAATTGAAAGACAAAATAAGAAAACAAGCTTGAGAAAATAAAGTGAAGGGAAAAAGTTAGAAAGACTGAAAGGGAGAGAGAAAGAGTGGCAAGCAGAAATGGAATGTCGGTGAGAATTTTCCTTAAGAATCAGCAATTCCAATGATATTTTTCTTTGCAAGCGCTCTCTTTTTTTCTTTCGTGTGTTTTTATTGCGTTCCGTGCTTGTTGTGCATCCATTTGAAATCAGCAAAGCAAATGTACACACATCATCTTTTTGCAGAAAAGTGAACGGAAATCACACTCACACACAAACTCACATGCGAGATGTTAAAGAGGATCGTTCGCTTTCGAATGAAAAGAAATAAGTATTTTTATTTCAGCTCGCTGAGATTGTCTATTGTGATGACTCCCACCCAATCATCTAAGTACAATTCATGTATATATTTCAATTGTATTGCTTGTCATGGTTTGTTATATGTAAAATGGTGTTTGTGCAACTTTTATATCATTATGCTTGTACGTAATGCCAATGTATTTGAATGCATGATTTTAACCCGGCAGAAAAGTAATTTTGTTTGTCATATTCCGCCCTATACATATCAAAATTAGCACATACGCATTCATTTACTGGCAAATGCAAACAAATATCATCACTGCGGTGGATTTTTCGTACCTGAGCTATTCGGTTTGCCGAATTTATATTCTCCATTGCGATGATGCCATTGCAAAATTTAAATGAACGAATATCAAATGCAACGCAGTAACTAAGTCAAAAGGAAACGAACAAACTTACGTAATTTGTAAGAGCTGCACGAGAAATGTAATTAAATAAGACGGAATTTAATTCCTCCTCAAAAGTAAGAGTGTGGCGGTAAAAAACGGTATGCTCCAATTACATCATTTCGTCGAATTATTTTAAGCTCTTTCACCATTTCCACCACTGAAACATTTAAATTTGCGGGAGTTAGCGTCTCGCAGCACTAAACATTCTCTTCAACAACTTGCTTTTTAAATACATCCATATAAACATTCAAATACACATTCAAATAAATTAAAACAAAGTACCGCACAAAAATTAAGGTGGAACTTTAAATTTCCAATTGGCAACACAAACACACACACACAACCAAGTTAAGAGAGTTTTAAATTGGCACAAACATTGGCATAACGGCAGATCGATTTCATCACATTCCATTTTCTTGGTAGAAAGTGTTGTGTATCTTGTATGATGAATTGTTATCGCTTTGAAGCTGAGCAACTTTAATATCAATAGCAAATTTTCTGTTTGAACAACATCAAAATTGAAGGAACATTACGTTAAAGAAACGTGAACCACTTTCAGCCGATGCAGAAAATATAATAAACGTAGATTTAATAAATATTGCCGCAAAAAAAAAAATGTTTTGATAAAAACGAACACGATGAAAATGAAACAAAGTACTTGTCTGTTCGTGTAATTGTTTTTAACATGAGGAAGAAAGGGAGAGAAAAACAGATATTGAAAGAGAAAAACAGAGAGATAGGAAGAGAAAAAACACAGAAGGAAAAATGCCTACGAAGAAACGAGGAGACAAACTTTTTCCCTGTTCAACCTACGTACGTGAATAAATATATTAATTTTTTTGGGGTAAAAGTAGAGAATGGCTCGAGGCATTCGCTAGTCAGAAGCTCTTGTTGATTTCACCATTTTTTGTTATGTTGATGTGTTTTTTTCCACCCCACTCTTACTTTTTCTCATTCTGAAGTTGCCATCATTTTCGTTTTGCCTTTTACTTTGTTTCGTTTGACTGTCGAGTAGTTGCTCTAGTAAACTTTCACCATTTATTGTAAGCGCCATATCTATTGAAAGCTTGGAAAACTAGCTAATGAAAAATGAGAAAAACCGTGAGAACTCGATTAATACGAAACAGTTGACTCAACTGCTGCTGTGCAATGTGTATACAATGATGAAAACGACCTGTTGGCTACACAAGATCTACTTTCTTCTACTTTGCTTACTTACCGTCCATTCGTTTGTTCATCAGCAACATCAAATGCACAAAACTTTCATTGAATTCACGATGCCATGCCATTGTTTGTATACAAAAGCGTCAGTGTGTGGCTTCGTATTTTTCCGTTTGTGTTCCACTGTCACAATGTCCAACGATTTATGATAGAATTTGTAGCAAATGCATTCGACGCGCGACAACTCCAAAGAAATCTCATTTTACACTCGAGTGAAGGAGTGTATACGAGGGAACCGAGAAAAATACAAAAATCCATAAATTTACGCTTGTTCTCTGTCTCTCTAACACGATCATGCTTTATACAAATCAACATCATTTCGGGGTATCCCTTGAGCCATTTTCGTTTATCTTTGACAGCGTTTTTTTTGTCGGGTGCCTTCTCTTTTAACGATAGAGAGACTGCGGTTGATTTTCTTATTTGCCAATTTTGTTGTGAATACTAATAGCAAAATTACAAGTCAAACACATAACCATCGAAACATCGAAAGAAAAATCTAAAATAAAACATTAGCAACCGAAGTGAAACTGTTTCAGGACATAACACAATACTTCCGAGAAGTTTGATGTGCATAGTGTGTCCAGGTGTTTTGACTGCGTGAACATAAGCAAAAGACACGTACTTAAGGCGTTGACATGGTAGGAAAAAAAATCTATTTTGTAAGTGGTGTTTGTGAATACAGTTAGATAGCATGACAGGCGTGAAAAATATAAAAACAAAATACATAAAAATTCAAAGGAAAGTTTTCTACTTCCACCCTCGCAACACATTTGACTTCGTTGTGTCGTTCGGTGGTATTTTCATGTTAATATTAGCATGCCAATGCATATCGACAGTTGCGCAACGGATGAAAATAACACAGGCAAGTTGGCAGATGAAAAAGAAAATAAGATCAATAAACACAGAGAGTCATGAATAATTCAAAATGAAGAGGGGTGAGAAATATTGCGGTCGTCAGCCCACCAAATCAAATCGTCTGGATGTTCGAATCAAATCACAACTAGGTGGATTTTTTTGTGATGTGAAACGACAGGAAATTCACATAAAAAATTTCAACGATATTTCCTTTGCATGTCTGCAAATAAAAAGATGAAGAAAAACCAAAACATAAAAAGATTGTGTTATCCAAATTTTATGAATTGTTATAAATTCAATCGAATGAATGTCGATTCGGGGAATAAACAATGATGATGACGACAAATCAAATGACCCCATTACGTGTGGATCAATCACACCTTGCATACTTTGATGTTGTATGAGACAATGAAGAATATTCAATTCGAATGGCATAAATCTTGAAGAATTTGAATTTCATTTTAAATTTTCAAAAGAAAATTAACATTTTAAAATATCTAAAGATGACTACATCGACAACGGCCACTTGGAGGCGCATTAAATCAGATAAAATATCTTTTGGAAAAATAATCTAAGCAAATCTGAGCAAAATCATGACCAAAATTCATTCAATTGATGTGGAAGGACCATGATTTATAATTTTAAAACTAAACCTATACTGATATGGATAATCTCAGTTTACCTTCACCTAATTCAATGATATCATCTCTAAACATAGAAAATAAGGATAGTAAATTTGCAATGAAACAACGATAAAAAATCACCATGACAATTTACTTTCTCTACCATAACTGACCTAGTCCGTTGCCACACCTATATGCACTTTATTTCACTACAGCACATGCAAATAAGAACGTAACCGAATTGGCCAGTCGATAAACATACTACCGTATTGGCTGTTAAAATAAGTTAACCAGCACATCCACTAAATCCCATTTCATTTGGATTTCAATACACATAAATATTCTGATGCAATCCATTTATTTTAGATGATATTTTATTTTATTATCGTTATTTCCATATAAATTGCCTTCCATATGAAAATGCATTTAATTTTGTTTTTCTTCTTATTTTGTTACATTTCAATGCATGAACAATCATAATTCAATCACTTGCACTACATGCAACCCCCGCACTGAATACCCGATGCACGTTTAAATTGTCTGTCATCTTTTCTACCTGTTTAAATTACAAAAATAAACTCCATTGTGTGTTGCGGTGCAAAAGCCTTGTGTCGCCAACACCACAAAACAACGAAACGCCAACACCACAAAAAATGGCGTCGTCGGCGATGACAATGACGACGACAACTCCCAGTCGCATTCCGATACGAACAAATATAAATAGTCGCATACCCCGACTCGTTCACACGGAGACAACGTTACTCTCATCACCTTCGGCTGCAATTTCATCCGATCACATTTCCAATAACACCAATAAATCCAACTCGACCCAATCTCCATTCGAATTGCAGGCAATCCAGTAAGTAGCTTGTATCTATTATACTCGAATTTCGTGTTGAACATTTGCCATCGAAATGGAACTGACACTTTCTAATAAATATGGGGAAAAAAAGAGGTGAAAAATATTGCACTAACTCCGCATCTTTTTTCTTTTTCTATTTCGTATAAGATTTAGCACTTGAAGCAACAAAAAAAATAAAATAAACGTAACGGCTATGTTAGTCTCGTTTCTTATTTATAGCTGCTGTGAAATGATTACTAAACACTTTTTAGATATAGAACAATTTTCTTCGTTAAATGGTCTAGATACGTATATTAAATCGTGTCGGCGATTTGTATCATAGAAGTTTGTGTTTTTTTCTCGCTATTTTTGTTCAAGTTTTACGTTGAATATATTCTTTGCACTCGCCTCTCGTTTCGTTTGTTTTACAAAATCATGTTGTTTGCATGGTGAAAGCACAACCACTTCAATTGCATACGCACAACGCGCACACGAAACGCAAATAGAAATGTAAATATTTCAACAAAGAACGATGAAAAAACATTATTCTAAACTCAAAATGATGTGTACTTTTGCTTACATGCATTCAAAACTGCTTCAGTATTGTTTGCTGAAAATAGATGTGTTGCACTTCTGCAGCTTACAGATAATCGGATGGGATTTAGAAACATAAGTGAACAAAAGAAGAGGAGATATAGGGCGAAAACGAGAGAAAAGATAAAATGGGCGTGAGAGAAAGAGTAAGAAAAAATGGGAGAGGTGGGGGAGAAAATACAGAAAGAGAGATAGAAATGAAGGAATGCCGCAGATATAGACATTGAAATGTGAAGAAAAATTCTCTGACGTACTTAAAAATCATGTGTTTTATGAAATCTAAGCATATTTTTGCGTACTTTGATTGCTGTGCAACACTTTTCATTCATTGTCTAGCATGATCCCTGATTGACTTTCCATTCCCGTTTGTTGCTTGTAAGCTGATTCCAGAGATTGCAATCGCCAAAGCTCTTGGGTTCAAAATGCGTTTATAATGCATTCGGAATATTTATTGTGTTGCAATGTTTTCGACTCGAATCATCTTCTGTTTCTCCGAATGTATTCAAGTGACGCTTTTTTGCGTTTCAGCACTTTAAAACTGCTTTTATATGGACTTCCTTTGCTATAACCACTCTGAATATAAAAAAACACCGAACCAACGATAAAATGTACATGTATTAGAGGCCACTATACAAACGAAGTGACAGACCTAGAGGTAGATAGAAATAAAATGAATGGTTTAGCGACACAATTTCAACAATATAAAAAGGATCATTCGCAGAAAACGAGAATGGATAATGCAATGAATTGAATAAACTCAATTTTTCGCCCTTTGGAATCGTTTCCATAAAGTGGATAACTTAATGGACTCGAGCTGTGTTGGCTTCATCTTTTGAATAGCGATTTGACAAAAGTGACCCAGTTTTTCGAATTTCTTCTATGAAATTCAAAACTTGCATCGTTTAAGCATAAGAGAGTCAAGCATAAGATCAAAAGACCCAGCGGGAATCTTTAGAAAGAGACATTTTATTCATAAAACTATGCATTTATTGTTGTTGATTTGTTTTTATTATTTTATTTTGTTTTCGTTCGACGGAATTAGGGCTGAAAAACGTGCTGCTTGGCGACAAAAACGATTGGAAAATCTGGAAAGAGAAGCCGCGGCTGCCCAACATGCGATGAATAAATTGACCGACGATTTGACCAAGAAAAATGAGGTGAGTATCATTATGGTGTGATAGAGCTTAACTAACATTGCAAAAAAATGAAATCTGCTTAATATTGGTTTATTAATGCCCCAAATAATCATTTTCCATGTTCGAATTTAGGATGAGCAATTTAATCCGTTTCATTATCATCGTTTTTCTTTCTGTAACTTAATCCAAAATTCAACACAAATCTTGTCGGTTGTTGTATTTATTAACATACTTCACGCTTAATCCCATCCCTAAACCAGGAAACATATAAACGTTTAATTCGGAGACTTAACGATAAAAATCGAGCGTAAAAATATTCCATTAAACCGTCCAATTGTAATTTTTTCAATTTATTTCGAAAAATGATACATTTCTATTTAAAGCAAATGGCACAATGTTCACAACACAATAAAATTAACCACCTCCTTCCCCGCCACCGAATGTTTTATGTGTCCATAGATCTGTTTGTCTGACAATTGCATCGCCAAAAAGCCTGTGGACGCGATGAAACTTACACCTGCGTGGAGAAAAAAAGAAGCGAACTCATCAACCATAACAATGTATTTACATGCCAAATTTTTTAGTATTTCGAAATCACAGTTCCGCGTGCTCTCTCTCTCTATACATCTCTTTTGTAATAGTTTTTTATTTGTTCATTGCAAAATGTAATTACAGTTTTGCCGAAATTTTTATTCGAAAAATTATGAAATAAAAACCACATTTTATTATGGATCATTTTCATGGCTTCAAAAAATGTGAGAAATTCAGTTGGTGCTCTTTTTTCGCCACATTTTCGCCAGTCAACAGTTTTTATTGCCAACCATTTGCAGCGATTTTATTTCATTTCATTCGCCACATACAGCCGTAAAGAAAACGGACACCCGGGAAAAAAACATTGTAATTTTGATTTAAAAAAAAAGATGTAGACATTCGGTGATGAAATTTCATGCGCTTGCATCGTAAATAATTGTTGAATTTTCACATGTCAACGTATTTGCTGAACAAATGTTTCATTTTATATCTGTCATCGTCGTTTGATAACGAACAGCAATTGATTTATTTGGGAATGTAAAAAAAGCACCTGATGGAAATGGGGCAATTTACCGTGAAAACATGGTTCAATGGCTTTTTTATACCGAACTCATGAAAACACACATTACCATTTCGTCTGAACTACAACAATGGCATTCTGATGGAGAAAAAAATTCTAACCGGAATCATCATTGATGAAAGTGCAAAAACATCTTTTTTCGTTAAATTTCTCTCCATTTTTTTCGACATGAATTGCTGAATGCCAGTGAATGGCAAGAAATTACAATGGAAAGAAGAACAAATAATTTGGACATTTTGTCAGAAATCAACAGAGCAGAAGAGAGACAAAGATGGATTTTAGAAAATCTTTACTGGTAAATCATGTGTCCTCATTTCAAGTACTTTTTCACACAATTTTAATTCCGTTGCAAAGATTAGAAGTTTCACTGGAATGTAACCACTGGATATGTGGTTGTACAGTGTTACTCTAGAAGTGGTAAAGCATAACATTTCGCTGATGCACTCGGCAAAAAGAAAATGATGAAGTTTCTACAGTGCATCCGTATATTGTGAAGCAAATATGAAATCTTGAGCGAATTCACCAAAAGAGTGGCGAGAAAAAAACTAGTTTGATCCAATTCAGTGAGTTACGAAATAACATAAAGTTTTGTGGAAGTTAAGAAAATGTAAACTTAACACAAGAAATTTACTGTTTATTTTCTATTTTCATCCACATTCAATTTACACACATTTTCGCGTGAAAACTGAAAACTTCGCTTTCCGTTACATCCATGAAAACTGTCATTTCTCATAAAATCTGTAACATTTTACATTAAATTCTATTGTACGGAAGATTTTCAATTATAATTGCATTTGCGGAAAAGTTTATTTCAATGTTTTGATTCAGACACGTCGCTTCGATAAACTTTTCGTTTCGAATCATTTAGTCAAATGTTTTCATTTATTTTTAAAAACATTGCAAAATACTCATTTTTTGGAAGATTTCAATGGGCTTGTTTTAGGCGACTGTAACTGATTAAATGTTTCAATTCTTAAATAATTAGTAAATTACGGACGGCTTTCATGCAACTTCATTTGTAAAATGTCCAGTATAGTTGTTGACAACGAACCGTTCGTTTGCGTGCACACGAATATTTTCACACTGTTTAGCCATGGGGCGAATCACGCTAGTGAATACTAGAAAAACTAGTAAATCTAGTGCGAAGAATGACGTCACAAACGAAGCCAACTTCACACCAAAGGCCATATAATTTATATGAAAAACTACTGAGAGCCAACTTCACGCACTAGAATTTTCTAGTTTTCTAGTGAAATCTTATCAAAAACTAGATGCACTAGAATTTCGTGATTGACCCCATGTGTTTAGCTGTGAAACACTATAGATACTTTTACGAATTTCGTTATTGGGGCTAATGTGAAATTAGTTCTAATTCTTCGGCAATCCGAATAATTGGAGAATTTTATTTCATTGAACAAAATTCGAATAAATTTGAAACTAAAAATCGAAATTTTCCAATAATCATTCCTTTCATACCATTTAAAGCTCCATTATTAAATCAATTGCAATTTGTTTTTAAACTTTAAATATGTTGTTAATTTGATTGAACATACTTTTCCAGTTTAGTTTCTAACAATGCTATTTTCACTCCAAAACTCAAACGGTTTGAGTTGTAAAACGAAATCGATTGTTTCAAACGTAACGAAGAGAAAATGTCATCTCTTTCTTGTCTCTACCAATACAATTTTCGTTTATTTCTGTTCAAAAACAATTCGAATCTCTACGAATAATTTTAGTTTCATGAGTTTTGGAACGTTTTACTGTTCTTTTTTTCGTGTACAACAAAAAGTCATTCATTGTAATTATACAAAAGAAAACTGTACATATTTCGTTTTGGTAAAGCGCAATTCATTCCGATAAAATCCATTTCAATGAGCAACTCGGTACAAGTTGTCTTTTGTTTTGACGCATTTCGTCTAAGGTATTACTAATGAATTAGCTACATGCGACTGAATCTGGGTAAATGTGTCAATTGTTAAGAGCTTAATTGACACATTAACCCTGTTTTGCCGTTGTCATCTTTACATGAACGAAGCGCACATTGTTCCTATTGCCTTCTATGCCATTCGCGCACGTATAAAATGAAAAAATCGACAGGAGTTGGTTTAAAGTTTGTAAAATTATTATAATTTTACCTCTGGCAATTTTCAGCAAAGATTTTATCTTTGTTCATCATCATCACAACAACTCATCAGATATTGCTTCGCAAACACGGGTAAAATGCGCTTCAAAGTCACTGATTCTAAACAAAAACAAATCCGAAGTGAGAGGTAGAGAGAGAGAGAGAGAGAGAGAAATAGAAAAACAAAAAAATCACGACAGTCAGACGGATTGAAAAATCTGTGCACTGCAACACCATAAAATGTAATGCACCCAAGAATTTTTATTTAATGATATACTAAATGTGACGATGCATATATCCCAGTGGAAAACAGCAAAGTACATGAAATTAAGAGCAAAACAAAATGAGCAAAAGCGAAAGAACTCCTAATTAAATTTTTAAAAAGTTTGTTGTTATTGCTGCTTCCCAAAAGTCAAACGGAGTGTCTGCACTGTGATGCACAACGAATGGACAAAATAGAAAGTTATTATTAGCGTTAGTTGCACTGAGTTTTCTAAAGGTCTTTGCAGCTTTGTAGACATGGATTGAAATCAGTCGCAAAAATGTAAATGTAATTTCAGTGCAAGATACAGAAAGAGACGGAACTACTATTATTACCATTATGAACATCTTGTGAGCAAACATTTGAAAAGAAATCTCTTGACTTTTTAACGTATATATTTGTGTGTGAAACTCTTATTAGGACGGCAATACTTGGAAAATGTACTGTCTATATTGCTGTTATTTTTCCGCCGCCTGTCACTCTTGTCCATAGCCAACTTTAAGAGTTTCCTTTGAAAGATAAACATTGTAATGGAAAATATATTTAAATAGTTTCACATCCAAGGGAATTGCAAAGTTTGACTTTTGAACGTAAGGAAAAGCGCATCGCAAAAACTTTCTTTTTGAAACCTGCACATTCGGTATTCCCCCGGAAATCTCCGTACATCTAACATTGGCTACTCGAACCAGTGTGGAGACGCAAAAGAGAAAATACAAATCGACCAAGATGCTTCCTTCCGCTCACTGATGATCAATTTTAACATTCAATCACAACATTTGCGGTCACGTTACAGATTATGCGCAAAAACCACTCGAATGACGACACTGCTCCCAAAACGATTAAGTTTCGTTTTTTGTCAAAAGTTTCAACACAGAGAAATATACTGGATGTTCACTGCAATGCACATCAAAGGTTATGGAATTCACATTTCGACTGCGCTGAAAGCAGAAAATTGTAATGATTACAATTTTTAAATCAAAATTAATTGGCTGTGATTATGAATCGATTTCTCTGTTGGTTGAATCAATGTTATTTATACCGATAATTGATGATTTTGTTTGCACGAAGTAAACATTTACCAAAAGAAATAATCGCATGATATTAAAAAGCTCTGAATAAATATTTCGGGTTTTGCAAGCAGGACATACTATCCAGAGATTTCTGATTTGATAATCAGACCTTTCTTGGACCCTTGGTCAGAAGCTATTTATATAGATTTTATTTTACAGTAATAGCTATATGTGTCTATCTCCATTCGCCATTGCCTATAAAATCATAAACTTATCTCAATATAAAACGTCAAACAGTGATTGATTGATTTTCCTTTATTATTCGTTTTGTTTGTTAAATTTACATCGATGGAATTTAATTGAAACGACGTATGTACAATCACTATCTAAATCTAAAACAAAAAATGAAGGCAAATCTTTGCTATTGTTTCCATCGTTTGTGTTTGTTACAGACGTATTAGAGTTGTGGTGTTCAGATTGTTCTATCATGGCATCCAATGCTGCAACCTGTTGATCCAAATATCTATTCGATGTTTCTATTTGCTCGATTCGTGTATTCATTTCAAGTTCTTTAAGAGCCAATTCTAACATCATATTTGCGACTTCACGATTGCTTTTTGTCGACATCTTTTTGCTGTAAATGTTATAGATTCAAATTTTTTCCAAAAATTTGGAATATTCAAAAATTGGTTTGGAAAAAAAAGAAATAAACAAAAAAAACCTGTTAATTTTACTTTGACTTGAAAAATTACTTAGCTCGTACACGATGCTTGTTAAACTAAGGACAAACACGAATGGTGCTATTTTATTTTTCTTCCTCTACTGTATCTCAAATTCATAAGTGGTGCACTAATGACATGGATGTATGGATTAGAGTGAGGAAATACATTTTTCTCGTTGCGAAGGTCAAGTACCTAAACGTACTAATGACATATTTATGTACTGAAATAGTACGTACAAAAATAAATTGAACCTTTCCTGTATTGCCTACACTCCTTTTTTTAAAGAAACATAATTATTGTTTAATTATATGTTATGTTTAAATTTCATACACACAATTTCCAACTACATTTGAATTGTTGCGGCGAAAAAATAGCCCTTATTTTGTACCAAATAATATTGCAACATAAAGTTTTATAAAGATAGTTTATTTGTTGTAATGTTATGAAAAAACGTTGAATTGCAGGATTATTTGGAGAAAAATAAGAAGAATTTTTTCGATGAAATGATTCTTCTATGATGTGAATGAGATTCTTTTCAGAAGATAACTTCTACATCGAAAATCTCATCATTCGAGTTTGTCAATCGACACTTAAATTTACTACTTCAAAGTAAGTTCAAATTTAAAAAAAACTTCGTATGTAACAGAAAAAATAGCATTCAGATAGACAGACAAATGTTACCACATTTATTCAAAAGGTTAAGAAAATGCTGTCGAATCAAATTCAAAATTAAAATTCCCCATCGATCGATGCAAAAAAGGGGATTGAATTGATGTTGTATTGTGAACATTGTACGAAGTCTTGCGTATCCAATCGTTTTTAACAAATGTGACTAAATCTGCCCTCGTTTGATCAATTGATAGAGATAAAATAATTTTGGGTATGGATCGAAAAATCCACTGAAAACGAACGGATTACCGTTAATCCACTATATTATTTTGTTAGTTTTATTGGTGCTTGTTGGTCGTGACAACTGAACATTTGTTTTCCTATCATCGTCCGTTTCTATCATCAATTTCCATATGAATCACAGTCGTTAGAATTCAGTGTCTTACATTGTCTACTGTTTCGTTTGTTCCATCGTGACTGTGGCAATATATGTGGTCGTTACAGCCGATAACACGAGACAAAATGGGTTTTTATTGTTTTTGCTGAATTCGGTCATCGATTCAAATCGACATCAAACTCTATTATTGTTTTCATGGGATATTCGGTTCGTCATTTATTCGTTTCTATCGTCGGTTGTTTGCATTTGCAAAATCGAGTAATTTATTTGTATATTATCTCTTATTCAAGAGTCCGTATATTTAATTTAAGAGAAACAACGATCTTCGAACTTTATCACAATAAATTACAAACGGAATTTTCTTTCAATCATTAGAGAAAATGAAAAGACAAATCGATGGATAAATCAGGGTTGTTTTACGTTTGAAAGGAAAAAGCATTGATTCTCATTAGGGAAAAACAGAAGAAAAAAAATTCATTTGTAATAAATTAAATAAAACTTTTCACAGGCCATCGTTTTTCCACGCATCGCAATCAAAACCAATACGGGCGCTTTGATTGTGCGCGAAACGGAAAAAGTGCTCGGCGAAAAGGTAACAACACGCACTGAAGAAGTGCCGTGTCCGGTAACCGGTGTTCCTCATTTACGAACCGTCGAAGTTGTTGAGAAGCTCATCGAAACTGAGGTAGTGTTTGCTAACATATTGTGGGTTTTGTTGGTCAAAAATTTGGTTTTATTTGGTTGCTTTTTGGCAACCGCACCGTTTTCCGTTTGCACAATCTTTTCTCTGTGTGTGTTTCTTTTGTACATTTACTTCCGGTGCACCAATAGACGTGCACACACTAATTCAAGCTTTGTTCTTTCTGCCATTTTGTTCGTGCTTCTCTGATTGATTGATTTTGGTTTTGGAATTAGTTTGTATTTCGAAAACGCACTCTGTGGCCTCGCCATCGATTCCATTCGCAATGTTTTTGTATATAGTAGGTAAATATGCTTAGTTCAAATGCACCGCAATAGAATACGATATAGAATTTAAGTTTGGTTCCACTCCTTTGTGCGCTCTTTTATTGCTTTTTGTTTTGTACGACAAATGTAGGTTGAGTTCGATTCATTCACACCATTTGTACATATTTTTGCAATGAATTTTCAGGATGAATACACGCACTTGCACCCGATGGCAATGCCATAACTTTAACAGGACTTTTTTTCAGTTTGACGTCAGATGAATTCAAAAAAATGGTAAAATTTATTTTGCAGTGTTCCACTTTTGCCTCTCTTGTATTAGTTTATGACTTGTTTGTCTGCGCATCATCGAGAAAATTAATTTGATTTCAAAGCTTTGGCATCATGGATGCGTCTCGAAAATAGTAACGTAAAAATGCCTAGTACTATGTTTACGCTTTTCGCTCTCAATTCAATTGAAAGATTCTTTTATAGACTTCCTCCCTGTCGCTTCTCATCTCTTTTTTTATCCAATTTGGCCCAATAAAATAAAAACCTATATTGCGTCTTAACATCGACATTTTTACATGTATTGGACATCTAAAACCCACGCAACCAAGCCAAAATACACTATTTTCTTCAAAAATCACATTAAATTGGTAAAAATGTTGTTTACCATTTTAACTTAGTTGAGCGATTGATGTGTCAAGCCCACTGCCAAACAAAGTTCGATGTTTTTGTGTCGAATAAATAAGCCAATGTGATTTTAAAAAAAACTTTTGATGGAAAAAAGCAGATTGTTCCCCTTTTTCTACTTGTTAAGCCATTTTATGGACTCTATGACATATAAATGTCGATCACAAAAGATTATTTTTATATAAACTCTTTTCTAGTATACGAAAAATTTTCATTGAAAATTTGAGTAAAAATAATAATAAAACTTTTTTGCTTAGTCGATGTTATCGTTGGAGCATGTGTTGCCTTGAAATGAAATCGACTTTCATTGTATTTAGCTTTACATGCAAATTTCACTCGAAAAACTAAACGTTTTGTCATGTATTCAAACGACGAAAAATCGAAGGATGATTTTTTCGAATTTTTGCCTCTAAAAATTGGGCCAAGATCGAATGGAGGGGAAAAATACGTTTTCGTTGTCCGATTTCTGCTTGAAATGATGCAGTTCAATGCATGTTAACATGAGAATTATCATTGAAAATTGATGCCTCAATGCATATACACGTTTATGTCATGTAGATAAAAAAGTTGAATAAATGAATGACCAAGAGCAAAGAAGTGTACAAGAAATACACTACAGATTTTTCTCAGCTACATTTCTGCATAACATTTTTCCATGCCAAATCAAATCCCGTTTCGAAAAATGAACACTGGGCAACAAGCTGATACACACACACACATACAATCTAGGAATCTTCAGCACCATAACGGAAATATGGAATAGTATACATTGTGTACATAGCAGCTATAAGCTAAAACTTCAACGCATCATTTCATTTTTATCGTAAGCGCTACCAACACATTACCTTCCGTGTGTCACTTGAAACGTGTTTGTTCGAGATCATGTTTTGTTTATCGATTTGGAAATTGGCATATATGAGATAGAGAAAGGCGATAGTCAGCTATTTTACCAAGATATCACCATATTCTCTACCAATCATAAGCTTTGAACAAAATTCAAGTACACATATAACAATGTATTTCAATCACATCGCTTCCGTAATGTGGTACTTTTCTTCATCGGCTGCATCGTCTTTCACTCAAAATAAACTAATGTAAGTATATTGGATACTTATTGTTCATCGATATCAAGGAACTAGATAAATATAAATAACATTTGGCTTATTAATTTCAATGCAGTCTGCGCAATTATTGATATATTTTCCGACTTTTTTCGTTGATTTCCAAAAAAAGGAAATTGAAAGTGTAATAAAGGAGATATTTACTGTAATACTAATGTTGGAAGAATATACACTGAAGCACATGAAAAACAAATCTTTTGAATCAATTCACTTTCTTTCACCCGTGGAGTATGAGTATGAATGACAGTAAGGTTAAAAGTCTTATTATCAATTCAAATATGTATTTTCAAGAATTGATATCAATTCAAAGCAATATACCTTCTCTTTTGAACATATACTTATCCAGCAAAATACACATTCGACAAATCTGAATGTAAAAAAAATTCGAATTCGTTTCCATCCTCGTTTGTATTTTTATAATAACTAAAAGTAATAACTTATTATAATCCCGATTGATTTTTTTTTATATTCAACTACAACCAATGACATTCTTAATTATTGTGTGCACTTTGTAAATTGACAACGATCACTCCCGAATGCAGAGATTTTTTCTTTTTGGATATCGTCGTTTGAAGTACCTTAACGAAACGATTCGGTAATCAATTCCCAGTAGTATATTTCCGGTCGTTCGCTATTCAAATCCAATTTTGATGTTTTTAAAGAATAAAAAATAACCAGTAGAAAGTGCATTGAAGTCAATAGAAACAAGTAACCCATTTGAATTTGACTTGATTGTAAAAAGTTTCTGAATGCAATATAGAAAAGAGTTGATGTTGTTATTATCTGTTCGTTGAATGTGTATTGTTGACATTGTGCATTCATGAATCGATTTTTTTACATGTGTAAATGTATTGATATATAGTCAGAGCAGGAGCAAAAAGGAGCAAACGAGTGAAAAAGACACATTGATTGCAAAGTAAAAGATAAAACGCAAGCCAGATATTTCAATGCATCACATAGTGGGAGGAGAGAGAAGACGAAAAAAGAGTATCAAGTAATAAATAATGATGATGATAATAAAAATGACGGTGATATTTCTATTGACAGTGTGTAGTTGGAATTCTCTCGACTGTCATGTTTGTATATGTGTGTGTGTCGCACAACAATGAAACGTCGTTCGTGACAATTCTCATTGTAAATGTGAATATAAATTATTATTTCCCACAGTTTGCCGTGTAACTTTGCTTTGAATCTCAATCAATTTTTATCGAAGAATATAATGTTGATTTTCTTTTCGTGTTTCTTCTTCGAAAAAATATATCATCATTTTCTTCATCGTTGTCAGAGTTTTTTGATGGAAAGAAAAGAAAAATGTTCAAATAAATTCAAGAAAATTGCGTTGATTCGAAGCACTACTGTGTAGTGTTGGAATATTCATATATGATGCAAACACCGAATGTGCACAAGATTCAAACAATTTTTGCAACATTTTTGCAATTTAAGTGGATATTTGTATAAAGTAGTAAAATTATCCGATGCGAAAAAGGGATTGAAATGTGCTTATACATTGAAGTCGATAATCGTACATTTTTATTGCACTTTCAAGAAGCGACACTCGACAGACATCAAATAGTCGACCGAAAAACATATCACTTTTTATCACGAATTTCAATTTGAATAACACATTTCTCATGAGTTTTATATTGGAACTGAATGAATGCAAACTTAAAAACGAGGAGACAAAATAGTATTTGTTATAATACAGTGCATACTTCGCTGCAGAAATTTACATTCATTTTATCACTCTCTTCCTTCTGCTTTCATCTTCTTTCCTACCTCTTCTTCCATTTTCGCTCTTCGCTTCTCTATCTTCGTTTATCTCACTTTTCGACACAAAGTCGAAATGTTAATAGCAGATTGTCATACAACGCATTTCATTATATGCTCTGAATTCATAAATAATTCCAAGTGTTTTTCTATTTGAGTTTTTGGACTCAGGTGAGACTACCGCCCTCAAATGATAGTGTAATACTCGCAATTGTAATTCAACAATCTTAATGAAGTTTTTACACCGGCATCACCACTTTTACCGTGGAAATATTAATTTTCTCATGTTGCGGCCATTAAAGAATTTGTATTGTACTTCGGGCGCATAAGCCTGTTGAAATTACATCTTAAGCTTAGTAAATGGCTATAAGTTTTTGCGCGACACAGCTCGCTCAATGTGACAACAAATTTGCAATGCTTTTAAAATACTTTGCCGTCATTAAGTGTGTCGCCGCAACGGTAAAGGTGTACATAACCAAATTGTTATTATTTTGGACGACAACAATCACCAAGATTACTATTCAAATGCCAGATTCAAATGAAAATTAAGCTCTTCCACTGGAGATAGAGAGAGAGAGAGATCGAAAGAAAGAAAGAGAGGTGGTGAGACAGAACGAAGAGAGAGGGAGATATAAGTCCAAAGTCTATTCTGAGTGAGTGCTTATGAATTAGTTTTATGATGTTTTTACGGCACTTCATCATTTTCACGACAAAATGAAACATTTTCATAAAGTCGACATTCGCGCTATGCTCCCCGTGTCATACCGTTACCATTTCGGACGATGTTTCATTGAAGTTTTTCGCTTTTGAGCTTCCTTCACTTAAAATCCATTGCAAACTCCAACACAAAAGGTATATACATATATTACACCAAATATGGAAATCTAGGAGAGGTAGTGTGAGAGAGACCAACTTTATTTGTGTCATCACAAAACTCGCTCATATTCCTACTTTGAATTGTCGCTTTCCATTTTTATCCAAAACTTTATTTTCATCGTCTGCATTGAAAAGCAACGAATAACTTATTGCACAAGTTTTTTTTTTTGTTGCCATTCCGTTGGTTCACTGTAAATTTTGCGGCAAGATAAAATGGCATTAGCACCTGATTTCAATGGCAGAAACGTTTCGGGTGTCGAGAAACGGCATCAGCCATACGCAGAGAAAAAAATGTTGGTGAAAAGTTGCGCTAGAGTATGGTGTGAATTTTCATTAGGCATTGTGCTGAGGTGCTATATACCAGTCTTATTTCCAACGGAATATTTGGCTGATTTTTCTAGCAGTGTTTGTTTATCGATTTTACGTTGCAAACTATGGTGCACAATAGACAGAATGCGAATGAGAGAAATCGGGTGATGGGTGAGATACGAGATTTATATTGCCATTTTCTTTTCATTTTGCCGGTTTTTTTTTTTGTTCATTATTTCGCACAAATATATTTCTTCTGCTACAATTGTTGGGCTCCTTTTCATCTTTGGATGTGCCCTTTAGTGTGTGCGCTTTGTTGTTGTTGTCACTTGTTATCGTGTTTCCGAGAAGAGAGCTTTGGTGCCAACAATATGGTTGATTTGTGAAAAAGTTCACATTAAAAAAAAACACAACGACTTTCTTTTGCTGGCCGAAAAACGAATCTTTGTTGATTGTTCGCAGGAATTTTTTTTCTATATGTCGTATGTATTAGTTGGTATCACCATTCGATTTTTGCTTGTTTTTCCACTTGCTATGATATACATATTTCTCAGCGTACATTTTCTTCTGTGTTTTATCTTCTGCTTTATATCCTTTATTGTTGCTCGCACTACACATAGCATGTTCAGCACATTTATTGTATATTATTTTTGTATTTTCCATTCGTACACTCAAAGGATTTCAGTTTAAAATAAATTTTTGTTCTTGTTGTCTTTTTCACGTCTTTCGTTGTACGTCGTTTGTATTTTTTTAAGTAGTAGTAGACCGGCACCGTTTGATGTGGTTTTGATGAAAGAATGAAAAGAAAATACGATAATAATCCTCTTCTTCAATCATTGTTTCAATCATGCCCATGCAATTTTCTTTATATATTTTCTTTAGGTCGAAACTTGTCAAGAGAAGATAATTACGTTGGAACTCAAGGATCCAATCACAAATGTCACGCTAACTGAGGAACAACTTATGGCAGCCAAATTGCCTGACACACCAATCTCACCGTCTGATGATGAAAATTCATCAATTATTACGGTGCGTTCGAATGCAAGCAATAATGATAGTATGGTACGTCTGCATTTGGCCACCGAAAATAATGAAACAGACGCCGCGCAAAGTGCATCGGGTGGATCATTCCTGATGACCGTTCAGCAGCAACAGCAACAACCATCGTCAAATGTGATTGATGCGAATAATGATGATGGTAAAATGCAAACAATCGTCGAAGTGGTGAACCCGTTAATATCCGGTCAAGGTTATGCAAACACAATTGCGGTGGGTGGTTCGAATGATGATAACTCGTATCCATCATTTGATCCAAATGATGATGATAATGCAGCTGCCGAAGCAAACTATGATTCGCTTGACATGTACAATACGGCCAGTGAATTATCGTTGAGCGACAAAATGAAAAATGTGCTACAGGAATTAGTCAAAAATGAACGGGTACGGTTGAGCTTCTCACAAAGCATATCCGAAGGCGAAGACAGCGATAGCGAACAAAATGATACTGACGACGATGCAAATGAGCCATTAAAACATGATAGCAGCGATGATGAATCAGCCGCACCCATTAACTCCACGAATCAAACGGTGAACGCACCAGCAACGATCGAAATACCAACAACGGAAGCAAATGGAAACGCTGTTATCGCAAAGCTTAACATTGTCGACACGAAGGAAAGCGATAACAGTAATAATGATGATATACAAAATGCCAACATTATTGATGATAACTTTATTTACAAAAATCCCAATTTTTTGATGGCTGACGATGAAATTGATGCGAACACCTCACAACAAAGCGGATCCACTGTTACACGCAAAGACCGCGATGAAAAATTAAAAGAAAAACTCTTGGCCGAACTGAATGTGCAACCATCGGCGATGATGACGACGATGACATCGATAGCGGTTGACACTAAACCTGAAATTCTTATAACCGAAAGTACAAACATTGATCCAGATGAAGAAGAAAATTCGATTTCGATTCAAGACGAAACTCCATCAACGCCAACATCACCCATTGAAACGAGCAGCAAAAGTGACAGCATCCAGTCAGCTGGTACGGCAGGCAAACGAAAGAAGCGAAAAAATAAATCCCGAAAAAAGTAGTCAATTGAAGCATAAAATATAATTCAACACTCGTTTTGAAGCTCCGATGATGATGCACTCGCATTAGAAATAGTTTAAGAAATATATTTTTTTTTTGAGTCTAAATGTATGTGTGTAGGTTAGGTTTTTTTAGAAAGACGAAAAGAAGAGGAAACCATGTAGATACATTTTTAGCGTGAGGAAAGAGCGCAATGCAATATAAAATGGTGAGCGATTGAATGGATGGTAAGCTGTGTAGTTTTGCAATTGTGATTGGAGTTTTTTTTTATCGAAATAGGGAAATTGAAGGAAACACATAGAACATTTCAAAACATTTAATGTATTGCATTTTAACATATTGAAAGTTGTCAAGCGTATCGAACAATCGGTATGGGATTTTAAGCTCATTTTATTTCGCTTTGCTCATTCAACAAAACGGAAATTATTGTACGCGTTTAGATACCGAGTAAGAAAAAGAGAGACGGATCGCGAGAGAAATAGACAAGGGATGATAAAGAGAGTAAATGTTTACTCCGTAAAAAAATCCAACAGTTCGACTTTGTATCGCAGCTAAACTCCATAAAAAAACGAAAAAATGAACATCAATAGTAAACCAAGTTGGTTAACTGTGAGCAGCAGCAGAATCACTTACATTGTCGTGGTTTTTTGTTTTGTTCGATCTCATTAGATATCAACCAGTCAAACGATAAAAAAATGAATTTCGATGGAAACGAAACGAAAACCCAAGCTAAAACAAAATAAAATGACATTTCAAACAATTTAAAAAACTGTTTCCACATTGTTTCCAATGTTTTTTTTTTATTATTTTTAGTTGTGTATCATTGTGTTTTATTCAGTAATTCCTTCGTTCACATACTGTATCCGCTCTCTGTGTATCAGTGGATGTGCATAACTTTTGTAACAAATAAATGTAAGCGCATATGTCGCTATCAGCATTCCAATTTTATTTGATGTCTCTTCATGTTCATAACTTTATTTTATTTTCATTGTGCAAATTTATGTTCGATATGCGCATAAAATGTAATATTTTCCAATCATTGTAGACACAAAAAAGTCACACACACAACTACTAATAAGATTGTTGAACTCTTGATGCGGGCATTTTATAAAATTCATGTGAATTTCTTTTTTTTTTATTTCACGAGTTGTACACTCTTACAAAACACTTACAATAAAGAAACTCCAGGGTTGTAATTGGTCAAACCAGTTTCATGCACATCTACGCACGCCCAAATCAATTACATTTGTTTGAGTCAAAAATGTCTTATCGCATTCGAAATGTTTTTTATCGATGCACATTGAAATTCAATTGTAATAACTAAAGACGAAACATGTTTTGATGAAGTTAACGATATGGACGACGAAAAAAAAAGAGAATGCAAACCTGTAAATATAAGTTGATGCAATGATTATGAATGCTAATATGGCAAGTGAATGCGTGCACACAGGTTGGGTCATTGCACCGGCGTGTATGTGTAAAAGAGTCGTCGTTCATCGATTGAATATGCGATTGACGGTGGTGGCTTTGAATGTTCCGAATGTTCTCATTATTTCAGTGCTTCGATTGCACTGATTCTAGTCGCTTGGGTATTCACATCGATGGTAATCATTACACGTACATAGATCGATTTCGTCTAATTCATATATGTGTGTATGGATGTCGATTCTGCTGTGCTCTACATTTCTTACACGCTGCAAAATGAATGCAAAGACGGTATGGCGGTTATGCTGAACGAGCACCCGCACCGTACCGTTTTTTACCTTTTTTTCTTCTTGATTCAGCGTTTGAAGATTCAATTACGATAGTTTTTAGCGGATATTACGTGCTAGTGTGGTAATTTTGTGAATCGCATTTGAAATCCTTTCTTCTTAATGTTAAAGACAAAAAAGAAATTCTTTTAAATTCAAACGAAACGGTTTTTGCTCGATTGGAAAAAGATGCTTTTCTTTCATTCGAAGCTTTTTTTTATAATAATAATAAAGTGCATTTACAGCATTGATCTTCTTTTGCTTCTCCACTAAAAATCATGGCCTTAAAATGTATTTGATGGCTTTATCATGAGTTAAGAAACAAATCTTTATATATATATGTAATCTAATGTTAATTCTCGTTTAAAATGCAAAAATCATTTATTTTAATGGAAAAAGAACATTCTAAATCTATCTACTATATTCTATATTTAACTAAACAGATGAAACGAAACAAAAATTAGCAAATAAAATGTATTTCTAAACAAAATAACATGGCATTTCTAACATTTTCACTGTCTCACTTACGCTTGATTAATTATTCAATGGGTATATGGAGGAGAAGAAGGAGAAGGATGGATTATAGGTAAGTTAGAAGGTGAGTGGCCATAAGCTCTTGACGAGCACTTTTTTTTACATGAATTACCGAGGTGTGGAACAATCTAAAATTCACTTTTATCCTTGTGTCTTTTAATACCATAATTTACTGTGTCCGTTCGTTACATTTTCTCTCCTGCTGTCTGCTTAGCTATACAGAGAGCCTCATAAATAACTGCATTAAAGAAATGTTCCTCTTGAGAAAATAACGAGAGAAAAAAACCGGGAACGGAACGAAAGTGAAAAAAATAGTACGCAGTTAAAAATGGAAACTTCGTCTCATTGTGACCTGGAAAATCTGGAAATGTAGTACACAAAAGAAATGTAGCACACACAAAAATAGTTTAATGTTCATAAACAAGTCGAGTATACTATTGAAGTTGAAGTGAAGCAGATGGATGATTATATCATGCAACCGTTGATGTTGTAATGCTTGTTGTCGTAAATTGGCTATTACACGACCGAAAAAAGACGAGGGAGAGATAGAGGGAGAAAGCAAAGGAGAGAGGAAGAATGAGAGAGAGAGAGAGAAAATGGGAAGAAAAAAGAAAAGAGTAGAATACATTCACCCAAAAAGCAAAATGACATTGACAATATGCTTAATAACGACTCAAACGAAAAGTCATAATAATGAGCCATTGTGTTTGCCAATGGCCATGTGTTGAAGCGTATATAAAGATTTTATGCGCATGTAGTTTTACATTGTCTTCGACAATAACAATGATGTTGTGAGCATTTGGTTTTTGATTACAATCTATCAATCGGAGCATGCAAAGTCTACGAATAAAATTGGCCATTGCCAATTGTAAGACGAAGCAAGTGAAACAATATCGATGTGATAAACACAAGTACGACAAACAATCTTGTTTTGTACCTTGAACTTGAGCATTTATTGCATCACGTCCGACAGTCGATTTGATGCTTCTGTCCCTTTTCTTCTACACCATACGAACATGTGCTTCTTTTATTTCGATCGCACCCTTAGCATATTGTTTTTGAAATGATTATTCTGCTGATTCAAGCGTAAATTCGAATTCGAACGGTTTTATGTCATACGCATGTCAAGAAAAATGAACAATAGAACAGAACGGTCTTACATGGAAATTGACCTCTCTCTCTTTCTTTCTCTTTGATGGGTAAAACTAGATGATTTTCAAAAAAACAAACGATCATGAGTAAAATCTACACTCTTGAATTGTCTTGAATTGTCTTGAATAGTTATCACACAGAATTGATTTTACGGTTGCTTGAAGTTAACGTTGATGTACGTGTTTGGCTCCATTTTAAATCTTCAAGCAACTGGTCCAACAACAGCATCGCAATTTCATTCGCTTCACTCATCTTTTTCGCTTTAATTATGATAAAATCGTTGCTGTTATTCATCGCTGTTACGTGCCTTATTTCGTTCTTGTGCTACTGCCATCCATGGACACAATAACGATATGATTATTATCATTTAGATAAAAGTACTGGCTGAATTGTACATTGTACACACTCTTTTCCATATCTTTGCCATTTTTCTTCCACATTCAATATGTTGACTCTATCTAACTTTTATTCATTGCCATTGCTTAAAGATTGTTTTACGATTGTCCATACAAATTGACGCTGTAATTGAATACATTAAAACCGCTCAATACATAATGTTCACACATAAATTGCCTTCCGTGCGCTCTCAATGTAATTCATTAATTTTATGTTGTCATAAACAGCACAAAAAAGTCCTATAGAATAAAATGAGAATAAGGACGCGACAGTTGAACCTCCGTGATTTTGTTTGATTGAAATAACGGCGTCGTCTGTGAACATGTGTACATGTTTCCGCTTCTATTTCTCGGCCCACACCAATTATTTTCCACAACAAAATGCTTACGGTCAATGGAATACGTGGTCGATTAAGCATGATTTAATTACAACAAGCTTCATTCAGTCGATTTGTGATCGGAATCTCTTTTACGAAAGGATGGCTTTTGAATTCGAATAAATCAAAGTGATTTTAATAACAATTTAATTGAATCTATTCCATTGCAAAGAAGAAACAATTCATTATGCCTTTTTATAATTTAAGTGATATTTATAACTTTCTGTTTTAATAATGTCCATTAATTATTGTGCAAAAGAAAAGTTCTTGGGAATGATTGCATCTGATCACCACCATCTCGAAAATCTCTCAATGGGCACCAGCTTTGCCGTCTTCAAAATGAAAGGTGACTACTGCATCATCCTTGAAGACGGGTTGCCCATTGCCGGAAAATTGCAACCAGCTGGAGTTTCCTCTGGTACCCTCAATACCAGATATTGTAGCACTTGACGGCACTTTACCATTAGTGTTAAAAATCCCAACCATGGTCCAATAAAGATTATTCGTTTCAGAATTTGGTCGATGATAACATAACATGTTATCTCCATTTAAAGGATTTGCATTCGAAAGTGTAACAGTGCATTGGGCCACGCCAGGCGGTTGGTTCTTAGTAGCTTTATTCCAAGTATCACCGATCATATCAATGCCACAACGATCGGATCCCAAATCACAGGTGTCAACAACAACAGCCGCCACTTTTCCATTACCACAATCGATGTCGAGAATTAGACCACATAGGCCTGGTCTGAATACTAGAGGGCCCAAACTCTGTTGTTGGCCCAATGCAATTGAGTCTTTGTATTGATAGTCACCTTGTGGCATTTCACAACTGCCCGCACTATCCGATTCACCATAATAGGTAGCCCGAATAGTCTCTGATTGCATTTGAGCTGCCACTTTCACCTTGAATTCAAACATATTTTTTCAATTATTAATGAATCATATGTAAATAAATAAATCATAAAAATAAGTAGCGACTACCGTCCTGATAAGGACTAAAAAAAATGTAAGACTTCTTTGTATTTTAACCGATTTAATTGACTAGAGTCCTGATAACGCTATTACAAACTTCATAGATTTGATCATTTTTACACACGTCAGACGGAAAAAAATGGAGCCTTCTAAAATACAACTATTTTCGCTGGAGATCAAGCAAGCTATGCAATTTGTTTTGATATTTATTTTTGAAAAACAATCGAAATAATTTCAATGAATAACTTCTTCCGCACAGTTCAAGTGTTTATCAATTTGTCGAATGAATCAACTCTGAGCTGCAAAATCAATATGAACTCGCTTAAATGCTGTTTCGCCATTTGTTCGTATATCCTTTTCTTATTTTTCATCAATTCCATTCCAAAAATATTTACCGACATCTAACTTGAAGAACAATAAACAATACGAATTGCGCACAGTTGTTTTACGCACGACTAATCTAGGCCGTTTTGGGCACATTTTGTTTATTTATTTTGTTGCATCTGCATCTGTTAATTGCTTTGACGTAAGTATTATTTGGAATTACGCGATGCTCGTTTGACTGTTGTATAGTGCAAAATTATATAGGTAGTTCCTCTTATAATTATAATGTGAATTTCACGTGAACGAAAAGATGAGAACTTTACATGATAAATGATAATTTTTTCTAGATTATTGTAGATCTACAAATTTGCCAAAGAAATTTCTTTCTAATTTTTTTTTTCAAGTTTCTCGAATATCACGTTGTTTTGTAGGAGTTAGAGAAGTTTTTCTACAAGATTTACATTCAACAATACACACCGAAAAACACATGATTACACAAATGTTTTCATTTATTTGTTTTCCGTTCACGGAAGAGGAGAATTTTGTAAAAATATTTGCTCATTTGACGTCAGTCATAAGATGGTGAAAAATTTAATTGAATATAAAAATACACGAAAACACTTAGTTTTGTTATTTTTCAATTGTAAAGAAGCGCTGAATTAAAACACACATAAATGCAATACTAGTTTTATTGCTTTCTCGAGAAATTTATTCATTTCAATTGCGCTGCTCCAGATTCTGAAATGAATCTGTTTTCGTGTGTCGTTCTATAAGCGTTAAATTTGCATACTTACACATCCTGTCAAAAGAATGTAACCGCATTAAAATAAAAAAAATTCTTTGTGTTGTGGGAGATAGAAATAAAAACAATAAATTAATTTGTCAACACTTTACATGAAATGCGCACATACAAAAACATACTCCAAAATGATGCTGAACTCTAACATTTTTTCCATTTTGTATGATATGGCCTTTGGTTTGCTGTTGCTTAACCCGTAATTGCCTACGTTCATCTCGAGCTTCATTTTTTTTTCTGTTAGTAACACAAATTACGTTTTATCGATATTACATTTATAGAAAAGTTATTATTTTTTGGTTTTATGTAGCATATCGCATAAATCGTCAAATAATTTTTATAATATTTCAAATTGAAGAATTAGAATTGATAAAAGATTTTAAATCTAAAAAAAAGATCGCCCAAACCTTATACACAAGTTGGCAAAGAAAGTCTGAACTCTTTTCTTACTTCAAAGTGAGTCATATGCATTAGAGGGTTAAGTTTGTTTATAAATCAAATTGCGCCTTAATTCGAAAGAGTTTCTTCATTACTTTTGATATGGAAATGCAAAGATATGAAACAACATTTTTTTTATTTATGGCCATTGCATGAAGGTTGTTTTACGATTGTCCATACAAATTGACGCTGTAATTAAAAACATTCAAACCACTCAATACATAATATTGACACACTCATCCTTCCATGCGACCTCAACGCAATTCATTAATTTTATGTTGTCAAGATAGGCAGCATAAAAAGTCCTATGGAATA